TCTCTTGAGTATGTAAGTTTGCCTGGATGAGCAAGTCTTTATATGTATGCCCCTTCCTTTGCTAAATCTGTTTCACCTCCTGCTTTGAGCCCTGTTCTCCTATCACTCTTAGCTTCATACCTACACACTCCTCTTGGTCCAAAACTGTCTTGGTCAAGACCAATTTTCAAATAAACTGCTCTAATCTGGCCCTTTGCTGGGATGACTTCCTTGCCTTATTATCTGAAGACCCTAGGTCAAGTTGGATCTCACAAGTACAGGAAGTCAGGACATTGCCCACTGAATGGAGTTCTCAGAGGCCAATGGATGGGGGTGGATGGTAGAGAGAAATTATGCTTGTTCTTTCTTGAAACAAATTACCTCTCCCTGAAAGACTCTAGTGACTGGCTTCTAACCACAGACACACAGACCTCCAAGCTCTGCACATCCAAAGGGCCTCAATCCAGTTTCTTCCATTGCTTGTCCTTATTCCCCTTCCCAGAGGAATTTACTAACAAGTCTTCAGAGTTGCTCTCACTTCTAGTTTCAAATTAATTTCTTCAATGAAAGGTTAATCTCAAGACTGGTAAAAAGCTGAATACAACTAACTCTCTTATGTTCTTATTTTCTGAATCCTGTCATAGGATGCAACAGTTGCTTTCCTAATCCTGGTTGGAATGTCTTCTGCTCAATCTCCTAGGCCTCCTGGCCTCTCTGAGCTCCTTGCTTGGTGACCTACAGGTCAAGAGATGACTGGAAGTGCTACTCTTATATTCCAGCAGAGGGCACTGTAGGTCTGGCTTTTCAAACAGGAGCATGAATAGCACAATATTCACCCAAGAATGAACTGGTCACAGCCTGAGCCCCTCTGCTATCAAAGTTATAGAAATGTATCTTGGGGGGCTGGAGATGTGGCTCAGCAGTAGCGCGCTCGCCTGGCATGTATGCGGCCCGGGTTCGATCCTCAGCACCACATACCAACAAGGATGTTGTGTCCGCCGAGAACTAAAAAATAAATATTAAAAATTCTCTCTCTCTCTCNAGACTGCTTGCCTAGCACTCTACCACATAAAATATAAGATAAATAAAAATATAAATAAATAGGGCTGGGGAGGTGGCTCAAGCGGCAGCGCGCTCGCCTGGCATGCGTGCGACCTGGGTTCGATCCTCAGCACCACATACCAACAAGGATGTTGTGTCCGCCGAGAACTAAAAAATAAATATTAAAAATTCTCTCTCTCTCTCTCTCTCTCCTCTCTCACTCTCTCTTTAAAAAAAAAAAATGTATCTTGGAAATAACCCACATTGTCTCATAACTGCTACAGACCACCATACCCTATCCACATGAAACGAAGGAGGAAAAAAAAAGAAAAAGAAAAAAAAAAAAAAGAAACGAAGGAGGCACTCCTGCTAGTCATAGCCACACTCTGCTGAAGCCTAGGGAGTGGGCTCCAAGCAGGCGACCATGTCTGTAAGCAGCAGACAGGACACTTTTTCCACAGGAGCTCAGCCTTTCCCCATCAGTCTTCCCCACTAGGACTGGTCCAATGCACTGGTACAGTGATTCACCAAGATCCAGTACTCTGCTATCCTGAGACTGGCCATAGGAAATGAAGTTCCACATTTGGTAGAATTCAGAGAGGCAGGGTTCTGCCTCCATATCAAGGCAATTTTATCATGTCTCCTACTCAACTCAAGGCTACTCCAGGTGAACAGACACCTTTCACAGGGCCCCTAATGAGCTGTGTGAAAGGAGCTCATCACAGGGCTGCTTCTATTAATCTTAAGTCCTCCTTGGTCCTTCCTGAAAGTCCTGATGAGGTTACTTCAAGGGGCAGTGTAGTCTAGGAGTAAGAGCGTGGGCTCCAGAGTCAAGCTTCTTGCGTTAACTTGTGTCTCTACAACAAGCTAGTTTTATGACCTTGGGAAAATTTCTAAAATTCTCTGTGCCTCTGTCTCCCCTCTACAAAATAATAGTAGGTCTTACCTTATAGAGTTGTGTTAAACAGGTTTATCAAGTATTGGCTACTTTTATTGTTATTATCTCTAGAAAATCCATGCAATCCACTTTAATCAGCAGTCTGCAACCAGCACTGTTCCATTGCTGTCTCATGGCCCATCTACTTCCCCTGTGTTCAGAATTCTGAACAAGTACACCACTATGAGAAAGGTATTTTTTGAACGTGGAGGCAAAATAACTGCCCCCATATGGAAAACATGCTCTGGGGATTGGTCTTATTCCCTGGATATATGCTTTCCTGGGCTCCTCTTCACTTCATCCCAAAACATTGATAATTTCCTTGCATCAGGGAAGACAGTAAGTGCAAGATAGTCCCCCAAACACACTTCAGCTGATTTCAGTACATCTTAATGTTCCAGCCAACTTCAAGGGATTAATGTCCAATATTTGATATGACTTCCTAGAGAAGAGTCATTTTTATGTACAATATCATTAACATTTTCTCTTAAGCTAACCTTGCATGAATTTCTAGTCAGTGTGGTATTACTCTGCGTACAGCAATCCAACTCCTAGACAATAGCAATTAATGTGTGTTGGATATTATCACCACTGTGTCCCAAGCCTAGAAGTCACACTTCTGGGATCCTAAATTCAAATGACAAACTCAAATGTCACTGCTTCCAGGAAATGGTCCCTCATTGCAATAACCTGTGATGAAATACAAATCAGCCCTCTGGTTCAGTCTAAGCTTCCAAACTATACTCTAAACAAGGCTTTAATACTGCCACGTCTTTTAGGTCCTCAGATGTACAGGGAGGAAAGGAAGTTCAAACTGTATCCCACTCTTATAATTATTTCAGATACATAATGTTAGAGGAGATTTTGATTTGAGGGGAAAAAGGGAGAGAGGAGGATCAGAGATGATGAATGAGTTGGGCCAAGCTAAGAGAAAATCAGGAGCATCCCTACAAAAGTAGCATCCCTACACTTCACCAGAGATGAGTCGGCAATCCTCAACCATTTTCAGAGAGAATGGCAAATACTGGACCACATCTAGTTCCTGACAAGCATCAAAAAAGAAGAAATATAAAAATCTGAGAGGGTGGGACAAAGCCACTACTTGATGCCAACAGAACAAGGCATTGAAAACATCAGATGTAGAGCTGGATTCTACTCTACATCAGAGACTAGCTGGAGAAAAGACAGCAAGGGGCCTAGCACCTTTTTCCCCTTGGATGACAGAATGGATGTAATGGCCAGGAGACAGAAATCTTGGAGGAAGCTACCCTGAATACTTCCCTTTTTCTCACTCCCAAAGTCATACTCTTCTGCATCTTAAATTTTCTCAAATCCATCCATTCTTGTTCAAGATTCTGAAATGCAAGCCAAATCTAGCCTATTTAAGTAGAACATGAATGTATTCTATTTTTAAAATATTTTAGTTATAGATGGACGTTATAACTTTATTCATCTATTTTTTATGTGGTCCTGAGGATCAAACCCAGTACCTCACATGTGCAAAGCAAATGCTGTACCACTTAGTGACAACCCCAGCCCATGAATGCATTATAAAAGAACACTTGGGGGGTGCTAGGGTTATGGCTCAGGGGTGGAGTGCTCGCCTAGCATGTCCAAGGTTCGAACCTCAGCACCACATAAAAATAAATAAAAGATATTTATTTTTTAATTGTATATGGACACAATATCTTTATTTATTTATTTATTTATTTATTAAGAATTTTTTTTAATATTTATTTTTTGGTTTTCGGCAGACACAACATCTTTGTTTGTACGTGGTGGATCGAACCCGGGCTGCACGCATGCCAGACGAGCGAGCTACTGCTTGAGCCACATCCCCAGCCCCTCTTTATTTAATATTTATTTTTTTAATTGTAGATGGACACGATATTTTTTTTTTAAAAAAAAAGAACACTGGGAAGCATATAAAACCTGCAGGGGGAATGGAGAACCAAGCTTCATGTGGAATAACCAGTAACAATGCTCAGAATCATGCCACAGACGTGGTTTGGCAGAGACATTACCTACATTCAGTGGGCACTACTGACACCAAGGACACAGAGTCCTGGATACTGCTATACTACTGTTGAGAAGCAGGATTCAGTGACACTTCTTCCAATGCCCATCACTAGGAAAAATAATAATAAACTTTATCTAGCCACATCTCCCTTCCAACCTCATGTTTGATTCAAAATCTGGATCAGATGTATTTAATTAGACTAGCCAAAAGTTTTTGTCTACGTCCTTGCTGTGAAAGAGCCTGAGTGAGGAAGATCTGGTTTTCTCAGCCTCTAAAGTGAGATACAGGTTCTGTTTCATAAGAGATGCTTCCCAAGCATAATGAATGTTAGGTAATCACTACACTACCTTACGAGTCCCATCCCTTGTCCCTTTCCACTTCACCCAGCAATCCAGGAACCAAACCAACAAAAGTTCTCTGCTGCCTCTCTAAAGCTTCTAATGCATTTGCCATCCTGCTCTCTAAAATGATCTTTCTGGTTCTACTGTGGCTCAGGGACTTCTACTTATGGACTAAGACTTAGATCAAACATAACTTCCCATTTTAGGCCATTTGCAATTCTAAAAACATGTCAATCCCAGGAAAGGAGTATCCATCCAGATAAGGACCCATCTTCCCCATATTAACCCTAAATATTTATCCAATATTCTGAGTTCAGAGAAGCAAGACAGCAATGAGGGAGTTCTTGTGATCACTCTTCCCCTCTGTCACAGTCATGGTGATTTGACTCCTGAGATCTTGAGAATTTGATGTGAGGGGCTAGGATTGTGGCTTAGAGGTAGAGCACTCATCTAGCATGCATTAGGCCCTGGGTTTGATCCTGAGCACCACATAAAAATAAAATAAAATAAAGATATGTGTCCACCTATAAGAAAAAAATAAATATTAAAAAAAAGAGAATTTGGTGTGAGTGGTTAGGAGAGATCCCTGCCATGTACCTAGTTGATATGGAGACTACAGAATCACAGAACCAAATAGCCACATTTTCCAGGTACTCATTGAATGAATTTGTTCTTGTTTCAGACCAGAGGGAATCAGTGTCCACTAGGCTTCCCCCCATTATCTCAGAAGATGGGAATTATTTCCTGCACCAGAATAGTCACATGAGATACAATGAAGCTGTACGGAAGGTGTTGCTAAAAACATGTAAGTATCTTGGAGTGGGCACCATGCTAGGATTATATCATTGAGGCATGATTATAGGTCAGGAAGAGAGAAAGAGCCAGGGAGAGAGACTGAGAAGAGGTGGGAGAAAGTAGACTGGAATGGTAGATGAGCCTGATGAAATATAAATTGAATCAGATGTGAAAGCACAATATACAGATTTAAATCCTAGTTCTGCTTCATTTTAGACATCTGACTTTCTATGGGTCACTTACACTTTATTAACCTGCTTCCTTGTTCATTTTGAGAGAGAGATAAAGAGAACGCCTGCTTTACTGGTCTACCAGTCTTACAGAATTGATATGAAGATCACACCAGAGCTGAAATAATTTTTAGATGGTTCAGAGAAGTTAACTTGCCCAAAATTACACAATTTGTCTGGAGTTTAAGCTCAGTTTAGTTAAATTTAAAGCTTGGTGCTTTGCCCTACTACTCACCATGGGGTACTGTGTGATAATATACAAAGTACCTTCCTAAATTATTTCAGCTCTGGTGTGATCTTCATATCAATTCTGTAAGACTGGTAGACCAGTAAAGCAGGCATTCTCTTTCTCTCTCTCTCAAAATGAACAAGGAAGCAGGTTAATAATGTTACAAAATGGCAGCACCAGGATCAACAGCAATGGAACAGGGCTGAGGATGTGGCTCAAGTGGTAGCGCGCTCGCCTGGCATGCGTGCGGCCCAGGTTCGATCCTCAGCACCACATACAAACAAAGATGTTGTGTCCGCCAAATACTAAAAAATAAATATTAAAAATATTTTTTAAAAAAACAGCAATGGAACAGTTCTGTATTAATATATTAACATCTTGGTTCTAGTAGTGTACTATAGTTTTGCAACATAATACCATTGAGGGGCTCTCCAGGTATTATTATTAAATCTACCTATTTCAAAATTAAAGTTTAATTTATAAAGCTAAAATACTTTTAGCTTATTATTAATTAATAGGAAAACAAGTAAATATATTTACTCAGTGAATTATTAGATTTTTTAAAAATCATGATTATAAAAACCAGAGCAAACCAAAATATTAGGCCATAAATCTAAGTTTAAAAAAATACCCAAATTTTATACACAAGTAGAATTAGATTTATCCAAACAGTGAGAATACTTTTTTTTTTTTTTAACAACTAAGCCACATTCCCAGCCCTTTTATTTTTTATTTTGAGACGGGGTCTCACTAAATTGCTTAGGACCTCACTAAATTGCTGAAGCCAGCCTTGAACTTGTGAACTTCCTGTCTCTGCCTCCCAAGTCTCTGGGATTACAAGCATGCACTACCATGCCTGGTGAAAATATATGTATTTTTAAAAGTATCTAGGTAAGTTTTTAAAAACACCTAATACCTCTAGAACATGACAGCACTTGATATCTGTATCTAAAAGTGAGGTGGTATCATTGTTAAGTTTCAGAGAATTACCTGGAGTGAGGAAAAAGAAGGCATTATTTCAGAGAGGAGGGAAAGAAGTAAGGATGATTAAGCCCAGAAAAAAAGAAAATAATGAAATCAGTGGACACCATCTGATACACTTCCCAGTGGATTGACCACTTGTTCTTCCACCATCTTAGCTCTTGGGGAAGCTTTCTTGGAGATGGCTTACTAGCAACAGGAAGAACCAAGACTAATTCATCTGACCATGAAAGGTGTAAGATGCTGGAATCCGGAAGTAAAGCAGGGTGTGGTAACCACATTCCCAGGACCTCTGAGCACCTGGTCAGGCCCAGTTGCTTGGCTGGGCTTTTGGGGAGGGAGAAAAATAAGTGGTAAACTTGAAGGAATTCAGTAACCTGCCCTCCCCACCACCCAATCCATTCAGTCCCCAATCAGGTCTTCAGAGTCCCTCTGACTGATGCTCAGAACTTCAGCTTCTGGCGGTCTCACGATCCAGGAGTACGTCCGGAGAAAACCATGCCATGGATCTGGAGCCCACGCCACTGTCTCATTAAAAGCCCAATGACCAGGTTAGGTTAGGGAGGGGTCAGGGTGGGAAAACCAAGGGAAGTATTCCCTCCTCTTACTGAAATCATTAGGCTGTTTTATCTCTGCTCAACATTGGAGAATTAGGAGAAGTTTGGGTCTTATTAGGAAAGACTGGTCACAGAACCTGGGCAGTAGTGGTATTCAATGGAGTTAAGGATTTCTTTCTTCTTTTTTGTTTTGTACTGGGGATTGCACCCAGGGGCACTTTACCACTGAACTACATCCCCAGCCCTTTTTATTGTTTCTAAAATTTGAGCAGGAACTCACTAAGTTGTTAAGAGTCTCCCTAAATTGCTGAGGCTGGTCTTGAATTTGTAATCCTCCACCTCAGCCTCCCAAATCGTTGGGATTACAGGAATGAGCCACAGTGCCCAGCCAGGTTTGTGTTTTCACACTGTAGATATGATTTCTGAGGAGCACAAGACATGTCTGTGCCATTCCTGTGGGAGCCCGAGGATGTTTCCACTACCTTTGTTGCTCCCCTACTTTTTCATCACTACCCCTGCACATTCTGAGGTGGTCTTGGGACTATTTGTAAGGATTTTCCCCAAGCCTCCAGCCTAGCATGGCTGAATCTCAGACCATTTCTCTCCTTTCCAGGTTTATGGATCACTCCATTCTTAACGACAGAAACTTCAGTCTATATTGAGGAGGATATGATTGTATAAGGACAAACAAGATGGATTGTGAAAGAAATACAAGGAGTGGGAAAGAGGGAGAAGTATCCCAGTTCTGATGACTTTGACTAATGGGAAGAGGGGAATCAAGAAAGCAGAGTAAACAGACTGGACTAGAAGTCCCTTGTGTGCACTAGGGTTTGGGTAGGGAAGTCATTCCAAAGCCCTAATTATTGTGAAAGGAGGTGTGTGAGAGATTCCTGAAGAGACCAGATCTTGGTATGAGGTTGTGAAGGAGTCAAGGCACTGGAAAGACAACCACAGGGGTCCAGACCTAAGGCATAGCAGGAGTCAAAGTAACAAATCTTGGAAGACACAGCTGGTCCTCATGTTGATGAAGGGCCTAAAGTAGTCAAACTCTCTGAAGACACTATAGCTTCACCTTGGCAGGGAGAAAGCCATAGAAAGCCCTCAGACCATAGACCACAGAGTCCCACAGAGTCCTGGGGCAAAAGGTTGCCTCCAACAACCAGGCTTTGCCACTTCTAATCCAACCCAGGGCCCAGAACAGCTGCAGAGAACAGGGAATTTTACAAAGAGTTTGATTTTATTGATATTTAAATATATTAAATATTTCACTGAAATACATGGTACAACCACCCTCCCCCACTCCCACAGTGGTTACATTATAAAACCAAAGTCCATGGCTTCCCATCCCCTGACTCCTCCACCACCTGGTGAGGAAAGAGGCAATGGTAACCAGGGGAAGGGCATGGCTGGCACTGTGGTAYAGGGAGCAAGGATATGGACAGGCCCCTCCCACCTGGCAAGAAGCAGAGACAAGTCATTCAAGGCTGAGGTCTTCCCACTCTGGATTACACCCTCACTCCTACTCCCTGGCACCAAGTAGTCTCTTCCTATTCAGAGATATCAAAGAGGAGTCAATTTTCTGTCTGGAACAGCTAGTCTTTTCCCTCCCTCTGCCTTGGCTAATGATGTGCCTGGTGGCCCATTTGGTTGATGCATGGAGATAGATTCCCCAAGGTAAGCAGTACCGAGCCAGAAACCAGATCTCTGCAAGGAGCTGGTGCTGAAGGAATATAAGGAAGATCTAGAACACTACCTTCCTCTTCCACCCCCAAACCCCATTCTCCTCTGACTTCCAAGACAAAAGTGATCTTCAAGCAAAATTCAGGCTAATGCCTCTGGCTTAAATAGGTACAGAGAGAAAAACCAAGGCACCAACTAATTCAGGCCAAAGTTGAAGAGGTTGCAGGCAAAGGGGTAAAAGGAAGGAAAGGACAGGAAGGAAATGTGAGTCTAACCTCCTAATCCTTCTACCAGCCCTTGCAGGCTTCATGGGGATTGGGAGCCAGGAACACACTAGACTCAGGCTAATGACTTGGAAAAGCCAAGTTTAAGGTTCCCCTGTCCCATCCCTTAGTACCAGTATCTGGGTTCTCAGAGGGATCCCATGCTACCCAAGTCCCAAAGCATACCACATCCCAGGACACAGGCTGAGGAACCCAGGAAATTCCTGAGTCTCTACTCAACAAACCCCAAACAGTTTAAGTGCATGGAGCACTGGGGCTCAAGCAAGTGCTTGGGTTCCTGCCCTAGGCAGGGAGACAGTCATACTGCACATATGGCCCCCAAACGGCACTTAGGGATTTGGCACAAAAAGGATTCCCCTTCCCAGGCCACCCTCCTTTTGCTACCACACCCCATCCCATACCTGTGCAACCTGGGCATCTCTCTACATCCCTTGAAATAGGAAACCCTGCCTTATTCTCAGAAGACAGAGGCCTATGGGAGAGAGGCAACCCTGGGTGGAGAGCTGAGGAGCAAAAGTACAAGGACACACACAGACCTGGAAAATACATACACACAAAGAGCAACATGCACACACAGTTATACAAACACACAGGCTCTCCCCAGTGTCAGAGACCTGGGAGACCAGGTTTGGGATCAGGGTCATCTTCCTCTGTGCCCTGACCCTTTTTTATTTGGCAATAGAAGGGGTAGAGATGCTCCCTGCCCCCTTGCCAGCAGAGAACAAGCGAGCGCTAGGGCCAAGGAACCTGATCCTGGCCACTTCAGGGCCTTAGATCAGTCTGGCACCACCCCCCTCCCTGGCCGCCTGCACTCTTTGGCACCTGCAGGTGAATGTCCAGCTCCTGATCTAACATCCCCATACACAGGCTTGCTCTCTGGCTGGGCATTTTCACAGTACCAATGAGGCCAAACACCCCTTTCCCTGGAGTGTGCAGGAATTGGGGCTAAATCTGAGCTGTCAGAGGTCCCTTTGTTCCCCTTTGGGGACAGATCATGGGACTAGGATTTGGCAAATGGAAACATTCCCCTGAAATGTAGACAGAGCTGGATCCCCAGGGTATCTCCCTCCTGCTCTATGCTTAAGAGGGAGACCTGGCCAGGGCTGGGGTACCCAGGACCAGTGCTGGGGATGCAGGCATAGCAAAGGCAAGCATGGAATAGGCACTCCTCATGCCTGGCTCCAGTCTTTGTACAAAATATTCCCAGGGGAAGGAGGGTAAGGAAGGACCCATCCCTGAGCCTGTTATCCAAACAGAGAAAGGGGCAGGCAAGGCAAGTTGCCGTTTAATCTCTCAGGCAGAAGAGCTCCCCTGCCACCGCTGCCCCTTCCCCTGCTCCCACAAGTTGGAAGAAAGGAAAGGCAACAGCCCAACTTCAACTGAATAAGAAAGTCACTTGCATAATCCTCTTGGTATCCCCTTGATCACCAGTCTGAGGGCAGATGAGCATGGTCCAAGTACAGCATGTTGRGTGTGTTCCCTTCTGCCTTCAGCAAGGATTGGAGGCTCAGTGCCCCCTGCCACAACTCCACCCAGCAAGCACAGAATCCACTCAATGCCCACCTTGGTCCCTTCAGTGGAATCTGTAGCTGGGTCCTGCTAACTGCTGGGGCCCCCATTGAGGAAGTAGGTGGTCATCTCCCCCTTGCCCTTCACCTTGACCACCCCTCGACACTCCAGTTGATAGCCCTTGGCAGCTAGAACCTGGTACAGGTCCGTGGTCACCTAGGGGAGTGGGAGGGGAGCCCGCTTAGCCTGGAATCCTTCTTGCTGCATTTGCAGAAGCTCAGGTTTTCCCCAGTCAGGTTAGCTCCCCTCCCCCAACCTCCATCCCACCAGCCACAGAAGACTGCCACCCTGCCCCTGTCCTGCAGAGACCTGTGCAAGCCCTCTGGACCCATACCCCTCCCAGCCTTGGCTCATAACCCTCTCACCTGTATTCGGTCAGGGACCCCTGTGCTGTCCATACGACTAGAGACATTCACTGTGTTCCCCCAGATGTCATACTGTGGTTTCCGAGCCCCAATGACACCTGCCACAACTGGGCCCATGTTCAGCCCTGAGGTGGGGAAAACAGCAAGGGATTGAGACTAGTGAATGCTCCATAGTCAGTCCAAGGAGTCGTCTCACCTCTTGGTACCTTGAGAAGGGCTCAGAGGAAAAATGGAAAAGGAACAAATCTCCTGGTGGTAGAGTGGAAAGTCTGGGCACATGGACTGTGGGCTGGGTCCAAGCAACAGGGTAGTAACAGTATCTAATCTTCTGAATGCTTGCTCATGCCAACTACTGAAATAAACATTTTACATTGTTGCATCCTCTCAACACCTTTCAAAGGTAGGTATTTTTAAAAAAATTTTTTTAGTTGTTGATAGATCTTTATTTTTGTTTATATGCGGTGCTGAGAATCAAACCCAATGCCTCACACATGCCAGGCAAGTGCGCTTTGTTGAGCCACAGTCCCAGCCCCTCAAAGGTAGGTATTTTTATCTCCATTTTACAGACAAGATTTTTGGGGTGACTTATTAAATAACCAGTAGATGAAGCAGCCAGAACAAACCATAAATGGAACAGCCATGAGTCCAGAACCCATCCTATTAACCACAGTCTTCTATCAGCTCATTCAAGAGGAAGTACCTCTATTGAACTGGCCACAGATAAGGACACAGGCACTGGAGTTTAGATTAGGTAGGCCTGGTTTCAAATCCTAGTTTAGCCACCTACTAGTTATTGATGTCTGAGAGTCTTATCTTTAGAAAGGGAATAGTAATGTGAGGATTAAAATGTACTCAAAATATCTAGGACAGAGTCTAGAACATAGAAGTACCATAATAAATTACCTCTCTTCTTTTTTTTCCCTTGTGATACTGAGGATTGTGCTGAGGTGTGCTTTACCACTGAGCTACATGCCCAGTCTTTTTTTTTTTTTTTTTTTTTTTAATTTTGAGACAGAGTCTCCCTAAGTTGCCCAGGCTGGTCTCAAATTTAAGATCCTCCTACCTCCACCTCTCATGTTGCTGAGAATATGGGTGTACCCACCACACCTGGCTGGTCTCTGTTCTTAATATCAATATAGATATAGAAGGTAGAAGGGAAGAAAACCCCACAGGAGCCCTGATGATCTGTGACCCCCAGCCTGTACCCTCAACTTCACCCAGAAACGGTCCTGGGAACACCTGCCAAGGAACCAGGCCTTCTCACCAATCTTCATCTGGAAATTGTTGAAGGAGTGCTCATTGATGTGCTTCATCTGCTCCATGAGCCGCATTGCATAGTCTGCAAGGGCAGTGATGTGGGATCGTCCCACCTGATCATAGGTGCTGGCATTCAGCCCAGAGGCAGCCATGTAGGTGCTACCAATTGTCTTGATCTTTTCCAGTTGCTTGAACCGTTCCTCGCTGATGATCTGGACAATACAGGGGAATCTAGTTGTCAAGGCAAAACCCAGCTCTGCTCCAAGGCTCATTCCTCTCCATACCTTGGCTCCTTTCCCTCATTTCTATCTTGAAAGTACCCCCCCMCACACACACACCACCATCACCACTTTTTCTTTTTAATATTTATTTTTCAGTTCTCGGCAGACACAACATCTTTGTATGTGGTGCTGAGGATCGAACCTGGGCCGCACGCATGCCAGGCGAGCACGCTACCTCTTGAGCCACATCCCCAGCCCCACCATCACCACTTTTTAATGGATGAGC